CGGCCGATTCGCCTTTTCTGTCGGTTATTTATTCCGGAGTAGACGTTTTGTGTATGGAAGAAGCGAAAGTGCTTGCCACAAAGATTTGGAGTGGATGTAGCATCGAGCAATCCCAGCGCGAGCTCAAGAACACTAGGCCCATAAAACTCTTGGTATGCGCCTCGAAGATTCTCACTACTCGGACAAGAATCAGGAAGTCATTAACATGCCTGAGACATCTCTGGGCGTTTGTGGAGTGCCTGAGATTTGTTCTTAAATTGGGAGCATCAGTCACAAGATCGTGTGATAAACGAACACACGTCGTCACCCAACAAAAGGTTGTGAAACTCTCCAACCTGTCATCCCGCTCTTTTACGTCCACTGGGAGCAAAATCGATTCGGAACAGGGCCCAACCTGCCAAACGATGCATCCTGCACATGAAATCTCTCCAGTCACACAAGAAGGAATTAAACCCGGCATCCATGATATATTCCAAAACTTTGCGGGTATCCTAACGATTCCTTGATAGCAACTGCGTACTTGATTCATTAGGTATCACCATTGGTACTGTCCGTTTCTTGTCTTCAACCCATGGATACGTTAATTAAACACGCTTCCACCTTCTCTGAATCCATGGATCCTTTGCAACTGTCAGGCCTCCTCTCAACCTTGGAATCGACCCGCATTTCTTGCAGACTCTTTATTTAACCCTGGTCTATCAAAGGACCTAGAAGAGCTTGTTCCCTACCAAATATTAATCAATTATGTCCTACTACACAATGACATAGTAAATACTAGTACGGAGTATTGATCTCAATTTCCATCTAATAATTTTAAATCAGACCTGCTTGTTTGGCGAACCTTGTGCAGAATTTTCTTTTTCTTTTCTTTTTCCTTTTTTTTCTTTTTCTGCTTTTTCTGTTTTTTCTTCCTTGTTCTTGAGACTTGATCTCATGAGTCATGACCCTGACTATCTTTTTCTTCCATCAAACATTCCCTTGCGAATTTACATCAGATTGTTGAAAATTGCCATATATGGACTAGGCTACCCTGCGCCAAAGGCAACCTTATCATTGAGCATCCTTATGCCATTTTGCCAATCCGCTACCCTCCACAGGTGGCTTTTAGTTACAAGAAGTCTCACACAATACAACAGCGTCGATTGACCAATAAGATACGGCGGACAACTCCGGTCTACAACCTTCTATCATAACCTCTTGGGCTGTTCTTGCTTTTTTCTCCTTTGATCTTGGCTTTTGTTTACACCATGTCTTGGTAGTTCGCCCCGATTGCTGGCGAAGATGGTTAACGGGAACACATCCCGCCCACCCCCAAGCCCAATGTGATCCTGGATGGAGACCCACCTTCAAGACCATCGGCTTAGCCAACCTTGGCTCCATTTATAAAAACAAACCCAGCCCTAGACAAAGTGTAGGCCTTTCCCAGTTCTACAGATTACATTGTGCCTGGTCGCTTCTACAGGTACTCCGCACTACAGAATGCTCTAAACGGGGATTTATATACGGGACTCATCTTATTTGGATGCTAAAAAGAATTGAGTTTACGATAATTGAGTTTCCATTAATTAATACATAAAAAACTGGGAATATTATGTATACACAGAAGTTTACTTACTAGCTGCCTGTCCTGCCGTGGTGATGACCATGATGATCTGATTGACTGGCTGATCAGCTTGAATATGAATATTTTTCATTCTTTGTTGCAATTCTCACTCAAATATAGTATTCTTCTACTGCAAAATTTGTATGTAAATCAATTGATTTCTTCAAAAAATTCATCATCGTTACCATGTTATTCTCAATCAATCTCAGTGAGCTTCTCTGTCACTTTGAGTTCCTCTGCAAGCTTTTCTATGAAACCCAGCTCACAGCTGACAGCTCCAATCACTCATTCAACTGCTCAGGGTTCACAAATTCACCGTTCTTCACACTGTGCATATAGAAGCCAGCAGAGTCTGTTTTCACTTGAAGAATCATCTCAAGATCTCATGGAAATTTGAAAAAAACCTCAAAGAACATCTTGATTCCGATTTCTGCACTTGATGAGAAAGATATAGTAGATTCAACACCAATGAAGAATCTGGCGGAGAATCTAGTGCAGAACTCTGTAAACTTCATTGATTTCATCATGAAGAATGAGAATTATTTGAGAACCTTGCACAGAGATTGTAGTTTGATGGAAGAAAGAAAGCCTCGGAGACAGTACTCCGTACGAAGTAGAATATTAAGGTTTAAACTTCTACTTGCATCCCCAGTTTTTACGTTCTCTGTAATATATTACGCAGTATTCCGTACTACTAATGAAAATTCAATTACCACGCTAAACCGCGCTAAACCCAATGATTTCAAGTTTGTTTCTATCCAGGCTGAAGGCCGGATTGACTGGGAATGATTGGGGGCTTAAAAAGAAAATTTAATAAAATAATAAAAATCAAGTACGGAGGATACGCAAGACCTTCGCTCACGTTCTCCAGGCACGGCCCGCCAAAACATACTTCCCTACTGCAATGACGATTTTCCCGAACCACAGTATGGAACAAAAAGTACTACTATGCATGTACGCAGAACAGTACATACAGTACATAGTACAGATACATAAGACATACGCAGTAATACATAATACATACATACTTGCTACTAGGTAATCCAAGGGCGGCCTCGTGAGCAGGGCGTCTGACGATTTAAGAGGCCCCTGTCTCGCCGCACGCACCAACACTCGCCCAGAGGTACTGCGATTTACCTTGCATCAACCCTGGTCCGTGGTGAAACTCAGAAGTAGTAGGCTGGATACATATACTTGGCGACATGCCGATTTACCTGGTTACAGGCATTTTTCTTAAATGCCCATGGGAGCCCGACAATGGATGAAGGAGTGTAGACTTTATCTAATAGTAGCCAGCTTTAACAATCCCAAGAAAAAAGTTTCCTTCGAATACAAATGATAAGGGGGAATTTTTCTCTACTGCAAAGTTCTTGATCGATCCTGCAGTTGCCAAAAGAGTACTAGGAACTTGTGCCCAGATGAGTTCAAAGACCTTGATCTGTCTCATCTTCTAATCAGGAATCTCTTTGACTGCGATAACAGCGTGAGACTACTATTATGCATTTGGGTGTATGAGCTCATATTATTCTCTAACTATTTCTCTAAATGCACGATTAAGTGAATCCACAAAAATTGTTCACACATATCTTTGGCTCATAAATCATTCAATAGTACTACTATCTACTACTATCTCCAGCTTAAACGGGGGAGAAAATTTATCCAACCAAATTAAGTATCCCATTGGCGCGGAGAAATGTATGCAGCTTTCAATATGTTTTTGAGGAGAGAAAATTGAAATGTGCTTTTATTCTCCGCATTTTGTGGCTGGCCGCAGAATCCAAAGTGAGAATGACCAGTAAAACTTACAAAACATATTTAGTACTAATAATATGTTGAGGATTAAAAGAGATATTAGGTTTACAATTTATACAGTAGTACTCCGTACTCCGTACTTCTAAGTGTGTACGCAGTAATTCCGCTGTAAGCGAAGCGTGAGAATCTCGGCTGAAATGGTACTAGTATCAAGTAACTAGCATTTATATACGGCCGTACGGAGTACAGGAGGGGAATCCTGTTCCTGTCTCCAACCACGATAAAAGTGCCTATGATAGAGAGACATCCAACCTCCATATGCTGATTTGAGGCGGGGTACTCTGTATAGTAGGCATTGATCTCATGATATCAATGTTCGGGCAGGTCTTGCCTGTGTTGACAAGGAATAATAGAACAAAGGGGATAATTGCTAGCAAAAAGTAAATAATAAACAATGCAGCACAACGTATGTTAGTTCATGAATGTATGTACTACTGCGTAGTACTAGTAGTATGTATGCACACACTCAGGAGTAATACTGCATGCATTTATCCGTCCTATTCTTACTAAATCACCTATGGACAATTTCTATCTCTTCTAGTCGAGAAATACCGAAAAAAAAAAAAAAAAACAGATTCAATATATACCCCGCATATATTAGTAGTACTATATACAAAAGCAATCATCCTATTGCCCCCCATACTCCACATTAGCAAAAGATCCATGTAGATCCACCGCCAAAACTTACTCTTTAATAGCAGGGCGAATAAGAAAGCCCAAGCTCCTAGTGACGGGAGAATACCATGGGTAACAAGTTGCAGGGAGAGAAGGGGGAAAAAACCATGAAATCTTATATTCAAGCTTCCTCGGATAACTTGACCGAACTGTGGTTTGGGTGGTACTTGTGGCAGTTAACCAAGATATTTTTTTCCCCTCACGACCTTAATGCTTACTTTTTATGTTAGGTATAGATGTACAGTACTCCATACATAAATCCGTCATATTCTGGTTATCAAGAACGCAGGGCAACGCCCATCCGCTGTCAGAAAAAGATATGATATTATTACAACACAAAAAAAAGGGTGTCAGATGGCTGTACAGAGAGTAGTAGTAGTTAGTATGCACTCCATACTCTGTACTGTACTTTAACTTGTAGGGAGTTATGGAAACTACTCCTGACAGAGTACTCCGTACGGAGTACTCAAGATGTCCTGTCGCCTGCCCTGCAGGACCATGCACATTATAGCCTGCAAAGCACAAAGGAAAGAAAGGGAGCAGCCCCCCTTCGTCTTATTTTCTTTGTGAGAAACTACTACTTAGCATAGGGAGTAGCGGGGAGGGGCTTCCATTTGAAGAATATTATTAGTTAGTTGAAACTAGCGCGTCGATCGAAACACGCCTCATTACAGACCTTCCACCCGAGTTCATTCGCTAATAATCCAGCCCGATGAGGTTCTTTGTCCTCTTTCCTCTATCTTTGTCCATCACGCCGCCAATGGGATGGAGAGTCAGAAATAGCTTGTTCTCGCATCTCTTACCGCCCTCAAAATGTTAAGCAAAGAAAAAATCCCCAAATGCAGGGAGAATTGAATAAATATAAATATAAATATAAATAAAAAAAATATAAAATAAAATAAATAAGGAATGACTAGACTGGGGTTCGATCCCAGGACCTTATCGGCACATACATAGCTGATTAAGCTTTCGCTTGTTCAAGCCAGTTGTGTGAGCGATACGTGATAACCAACTACACCATCCAGCCACTTTTGATGACAGCGAGTCCCACACAAGGTTTTTTCAACAAGTAATCCATCAACCGCTTGCACGTGATATCAGCAAAAAATTCCGAGGCAATCAAAACCGCCCCAGAATGAGTTGAATGCAGATTAATGAGGGAGTATATTTGTGCGGGATTTGTGCGGGATTTGTGCGGGAATGTGCGGGAATGTACCGTGTCTAATCAAAAGTATGTGGTTGCATGAATGAATTGGAGAGTCAAACTATCGTCTGATTCGGCAGGGTCAAATGCCCATCGACGCAGTACAATGACGCAGCTAATCCAGGTAAATACTGCTGGAAACACAAGGAAAATATATGTTTAAATCTCCTATATATTTCATAGAGCGTAGACGATATTTTCCTAGGCTCTTCTCGCCATTACTCTATACACAGCACCAAACAAAACCTGCTTGTTACAGAATGGACTGGGAAACAAGCCAAAAAGCAAAAAAAAGAAAAAAAAAAATAAAAAAGAACGAGCTGAGAGATATGAGAAGACACTACTAGCTGAGCAAAGACAGAAGAGTGTATTCAAATAAAGTTGTTAGCATCACTTTGCTTTTAGTATTGTAAAAAAAGACCATCGAACAAATAACTAGACAAGCAAAGAAACATGTAAGGGATATATTATTATTGTTAAAAAGTTTTGCATAAACCTGCGGAGGGGAAAGACAAGGGAGGGAGGGCAACTGAAAAGAATGCAGAAAAACCCAAAAACTACGAAAAAAAATAAATATCAAGCAACGCAAGCAAATAAAGAAAAGCAAACAAAAATAGATAAGGAAAAGAACGGAGAAAGAAATTAGAAATCATTTCCTTTCCCAATCCATCATTAACAACTAAACTCAAAACCCGAAAGCAAACTGCTAAAATTTCGAAAAAAATAAAATAAAATAAAAATAAAATCCATCCCTAAAACGCATGCTCCCCAATCCGCGGCGCCCCGCCTCTCCAATCATTACGCTCATAATAGCGGAAGACAAGATCATACCCATCCAAATCATGCACAATGCGATCAACACGACGATACCCCGGGATGCGCTCCATTTTCGCATTACGAACAGCCGCATTATTGTTACGTTTCACCTGCTGGAGGTCGTGATGGTTGCCCCCTCCTCCTCCATTGCCAGGTTTCTTAGCCTCAAACAGGGTCACGCTAAAACGACCCGGCTTGAAAATATCCACAACATGCTCGACGATTTCGGAGGTTTCCCGCCCGCTTTGGAGTTGAGGGACGTTGGTTTCGAAGGAGGCGTAGGAGCAGTGGGGTTCTGGCGTGACGTGGACCGTGAAGTAATGGGAGCCGGTGCTAGACTTGTTGCTGCTGCCGTTGGCGTCGGTTGCAGGGGCTGGTGCTGGGATAACGCCGTTGGCAGAGAAGCCGCATGGGGTGAAGAGGTATGCGTCGACGCGGGCGCCGGGGTACTTGCTTGTCGGGTAGATGTCGGAGAGACCGCATGATTCCGACACGACGGTTCCGAGGCCGTGGCCCTCCGTGGTGAGTTCTGGGGGTAGGGATTGTTGATCCACATCTGAACCCAGGTCATCGCTTGAGTCGGAGGTGTTGCTGAAGATGTCTAGGTGTTCATCGTCGTCGGGGTTGTTTTTTTGCTGTCATTTGCTTGTTGTTGTTGGTGATGGTGTTTGTACCGATGACGGCCTTCCATTGCGACCGCACTCGCATGGTCGAGGTAGAATTGCTTCGCATTCTCCTCGTCTAGGTCAGTCATCAGAATTTCGAGAGTCTCGTCATTCTCCTCTTCCTCCTTGGCTGAGCTAGTAGTAGCCGATGTTGCTGAGGTGCTCTTGGGATACTCGGGGAAGTCAAGGACTTTCACGGGCGTCTCGTTGCTTGGTGTTGACGGCGGGGTCAACACGGTATACGGCTCTGTCAGGTAGAGATACCAATGCTCTCCATTCATTTTGCCAATCATATATGCGCTGCCTCCGAGGAATAGCTGGTCCATCGCCTTAACCTCATCCCGCCAGCTGCGATGGGGGCCGCGCTGGCGATCGGGGAACAAAAAGTTCTTCCTGCTGTAGAACACGCGGTACGGAGCTGCCGCAGTCTTGATCCCACGAGAAGCTGGGGCAGTATTCTTGGGGAAGCCGGCGTACAAAGCCGCAATCTCGAGAATGCGAGGCAGTCCAGAGAGCAAGGTGGTGGTCCCGCAGGTCTTGAGGATGAGCTTGTGAGGGAAGACAAACATGCTCGATTCGGAGAGCAGGTACGCGTCGACATCGTCGGATTCGATGATTGACAAAACCTTGCAGTTGACAAGGTCAAGCATGTCCTTCCATATCTCTACAGGAACCACTTTGAGCCCCGTAGGTTCCGTTGATCCAAGAAGGTCCTGAGGAGACGGGCCAAACCATACCTCTAACAACTTTTCGGGTCCTATTTTCAAATTAAATCAAAAATTTCAGTAAAACGAAGCAAAGCTACTTGGAATGTTGTCAAGTTGGGTATTCAAACTAACCTTCAAAGGCATTGCTCGAATCGAGATCCAAGGTAGCCTCATGATTAATTGTCAACGACGACGTCCCCACGAATGAGGAGGGTGATGTCGTGCAATTCTTCGGAATGTCAATGTTCATCATATCCGAAAATGGAGAAAACGGATGCAGCTATATAAACAGATTTGAAAACCGAAGAAAAACAAAGATAAGTTCTTAAAAAAATGAAACCTTTTTAAACTCTCCGGTTTCGTGCGAGACCTTGGACAAGGAGCAAAGCTCCCTTTTTTAAGGGAAGCACAATCTCTTCCACCCAGACGAACAATGCGGTGTCCGTCCGAGATAGAGGGAAGGCCCGAAAATGGTTTTGGGGGAACCCTACGAAAGCTGGCAACCTATGCCAGCAAGATGTAACAACCGATATGTGACGGTTCCTGCCCCAAAAGAGGCGTTATGGGGGTCTGGCGGAGAGGGGGATGAAGAAAGCTCTGGGATGGGGAATTGTGGCTAATCCGATATTCGAACCCCCGCACTGGCAAGATACCGATACCTGCAAAAGTATCGGGTCTAGCAGACGAGGAGATCTGCGGGTATAGATACAGTCAAAATAAAAGGGGGGTATATGAGGGCGTTTGGTTTGCGGTGTGAGTTTTCGAAAGGGGCGTTATCGTGGTCTTTAATCGATTGCGGGTTGGTTGAGGTTAGCTTGAGAATTGCTTCATTGAATGGACGGATGGGAGCAAAAATTCTCCCAGGACACATCACTGGAAAATTGTGTAACATCCACGCTGGCAACAGGATATATACTATAAAAAAAGAAAAGAAAAACAAATCCTCCATAGTATCCGTGGGCAGATTCATAGATGGAACTTACTTTGCGGGCTTGGAGAGAAATCGTAGGAGGTCCTTCCGGCTCATGGAGAGAAGAATATGATGCTTCTCTTCAGCGAGATAGATTGTGGCAGTTCATCTGCACGCTTCAGATACCATCGACCACAGCTTCGAATAACGGCTCTGCTCCTCGCCAAGATGAGAGAGACAGAAAGGGAGATAAGAGAGAGGGGATTGCGTCCTGTTGCGACGAAGGGAGGGGAGGCAAATGAATCACTACAATGACTGTGAGAGGGAGGTTCTCAACAGACAAGCAAAAGGTAATAGAAAATTAAAGAGAAGACACAAGGAATTGGCTAGGAGGAGATTTTTGTTGTATTTTGTGTGTGTGTGTGTGTGTGTGTTGTGGTGTCAGAGTGTGAGAGTTGTGTGTATGTATCACAAAAGGTGGGGAATATATTTTTCTTTTTTCTTTTTTTCTTTGCTTTTTTGGTTGGTTTTGACACCACCAATATTTAAAAAAATAAAATAAAAGTAACTAACAACTGGGCACAAAAATACGAGAAGCGGACGAGAAGAAAGTTAAAATAATAACAAGGTTTCCACACGCACCTTGCAAAAGGATTGATAGCAGCAAGTTCAAGGACGAACTGGCTGAGAGTGAGAAAAAGAATGCTGAATGAAGTAAAGAAGAAGAAGAAGAAGAAGAAGAAGACGGATAAATTGAGGTTGTTGTCGAAGTGGGATGTGCGGGCTTGTTCTCATCCGCTTTTTCAGTCAGCCTGCGACACAACACCAAACCGCTTTGGGGTAACGACCTGCTGGGTGTGATTGCTTCGGGGCCAGCGTCGGGGGTTGGGAAGGGAGGGGGATCCCAGGTCCTTGCTTCAATGGCTTTAATCCCTATTTTATTTTTTTGTTTTTTGTTTTGTGTGCGCGTGTGTGCATGTGTGCGTGTGTGTGTGTGTCCGTGGCACCGATGCAACTCAATCTTTCGCCGCTCGGAATCCGTACCTGAGGGTTCTTATATATGGGTCTCCCGGGCGTCCTTGGATCCCTTTAAGACAAAGCCCAGATTTGCGATGACATCAGGGCTTGCATACTAGTAGTACTACTTAATTGGCATTGATGGGGGAACATCTTTGAATACTAATTATTACCAGGGAGTACTTGTATATCGTCGAAACAGCTATCATCTACGGAGTACTCTGTACAAAAATGGCTCTTCCCGTGGTGTGTAACTATTCAATCCCTCTTTTTTTCTTCACTCCATACTCCGTACAGTAGGGACAAGGACGCAAGTCGAAAATCACCTACCAATAAAACCTCGATCTTCCCAAGCCGGGGCCTCAAGATTCAGCCCCGTTGTGCCTAAGCGGGCGGTGGCTGGCTAGCCTTAAATAATAGCCCCAGGGGGGGCCCGGCCAGTTGCGTAGAACTTAACGTGCTTGCTGCAGGAAACAATTTTTTTGGTTGCTTCCATACTTTGTATCCACTTCCCCGTCTCCCCCTTGAGATGAAGAAGAAGAAGAAGAAGAAGAAGAAGAAGAAGTGTGTCTGTGTGCGCAAAACCTCCATTGGCAATACAACCAAGCCGCTTCTGCCGAATAATGCAAATAACCAGCCCACCCACCTGCAGGGGGGGGGGGGGGGTTAACAAAGCAGTCAGTAGCCGGACGAATACGCTGTCACTGC